CCCCCTGTCCCCGGCACTCCCGCCCGTCATCTGCCGGGAACCAAGGCAACAACCCACCTACAGGTTTCTGTACTTGGTGCAGCTTTCTCAACCCGTTAATATCCTACCAGGAAGTTGACAGCAAACCACACCCACCCTCTCGTACAGTCTAGAGTGCACGCATGACGCTCGCATTCCACCCACACATCTGAAGCTAAATCCACCTGTCCGCGTCCGTCCATCCTGTACACAACGCCGTATGGTACTCATTTTCCAGTGACTACAGATAGCGCCCGCACTTCAGAACTTAGCACTAAAGAAATTGACACTCGCAAAAAATCAGAAGCTAAGAACTTAAGCACCATCTGTGAGCTCGGTTAACAACCCCACACCAAAACCTATATAGCGGGCATTTGTAGCCCACAAGAGGATGATCAGCAAAATAAGAACCCCAGCCTCGGCCGAAACTAAAGGTTCTCAAGTGCGGGCGCCATCTGTAGCCTAGCCCGTCTTGGCCATTTCGTCGTGGCCATCGTAGGCTTTGCCCTCTGTACGTGTCTCGTGCTCTCTCACTCCATCTATGTAGTCTATGTCTTACAATCTCCTCTCTCTGCTTTCTCTGTGTTTCGCGCCCACCCTCTCCTCCAGCGCTTGTGGACATGTCCCGGGCGTTCTTGGGGATCGCCGCGGGCAACGAGATGTCGGAAGACTACATGAACGCCGTCGCCTCTGATGTCGGTGCTCTGCTCGATTGGAAGAGCAACCGGATCAGGCCGTCCCCAGCAGCCAACAAACGAATGTGACGACAGCAAAGCTGTAGGGTGTGTGTGTGTGGCTCAACTGGAGCGATGAGAGCTGGTCAGCTTTTCGCACTGCTATCGTGACAGGTTGTCGTAGACTACATGCTGCTCACCGGTCGGTGTGTTTATTCTCATAGTCTACATTCGGGGTGGTGTCGGTTTGTTTGCTTCGCGTCTTCTTTTGGTTGGAGGTTTGATTGTGGACACAACTTGGTCAGTTTGTCTGGATTGTTCATGCTAGCTTTTTTGGTCGTCACGGGCAACCTTGTGCGAGATGCACGGTCCAACGTGGGAGGAGGCTAAGCTCCACTCCAACACCGTCATCCACGCACTACGCATTATTATTAGTCGGCGGTGTTTGGAAGCACGAATGCCAGGAGTTGGTAGCCAAATCGACGACTGACCACATACATACATCTTCGGCGACCAGAGACGGGGACCCCTTAGGGGTAGAAAACGCGAATACTTCGGGGAGCGGCGCAATCGACAACGAGTGGCAACACCAACGGTCGCTGCGCAGTGAAAAACGCGAAAGGGTAGTGGCTCCCTCCACAGGTGGACGCTACCCCCCCCTTTGACAAGGTTGACCCACAAAT